ATGAGTCAGGACTGACTCGATGGCATCTAACAAGAACAACAACAATTTATCAAAGACCAGTTTTGCTTTCATCTATTATATCTTGATATGTTTTCAATTTTCTCAACTCTCCTCTTAGCATGGCAGCCCAACTTATGCCATGTAGGAGCCAACAACTGCTTTTATTCCATAGTTGGTTTGACTCCATATTCTCTTGCCACCATGTAATCTGTTCTCCATTTCCTTTGAAGTCATCCATTTTTCAAAAACCAGATTGTTTGATAGGACTCCCTTCCTTAAAAAATTCTTCATATATGTAGAACAAAACCTACCTTCTTTAACATACTCTACAAAACAACAACCTATCTCACTTCTACCTATATGTTCATGCTCCTTTTTAGTCTCAATCTACCTTTCTTTCTATGGAGGGGAATTTGTGTGGTATCCCAGTAACAAAAATAAAATAAAATAAAGATAGCAAAGAAACATTACTAGGAAGAGTACTGCTATCTCATCAGGGTATAATATATTTCCATTATGTATGTGTAGTACCTAGAAAGAAGCAAAAGTTATGACTATCAAGAGGAAGTTAGAAGGGAGAAGCCAAACTGGAAAAGTAAACATGTATACATTTTAAACTATGAAAACTGGAAGCATTAATAGTCTTTAAATCTATTTTCCTTGTTACAAAAAGCTAGATTTTTCTATTTTGTTTTAAGTGATAGCTCCAAAGAGTTTATAGAAATATCCAATTCAAATGTGATTGTGGTAAGATTTAGACTATCACAACACATAATATAAAGTTAAGTAACAAAATGTAATTCAATGCAAGTCTAAACTTAAAAAAATCCTATTGGTTTTAATTTTTTAATATAACATAATTTAATAAAACTCAATATATCTAGTTCTAAAGATATTAGAATTTAGTTTAGTAATTTAAAATTCAGCTAGCATTGACAATTAACAAAATAACCAAAACCATGCCTAACCCACTGCTGTTGATTCTGACTCATGGTGACCCCATATGGTTTCTGAGGTGGTAAATCTATACAGAAGTAGATTGCCCAGTCTTGCGTCCGCAGAGTGGCTGGTGGATTTGAACCACCAACCTTCTGGTTAGCAGTCAGATGCCTTAGGCACTGTGCTACCAGAGCTCATTAAATAACTATATAGTTTAGACTAATATCATAATAGAAATTAATATGATGTATCTATTTCTTACATTGGTTTTGAGATTCCTGTTAAAATTATGTGACTTGTGTCCTTGGAAATAAATTGAAAATGTCCTTCCAAGAAAGTATTTAAAAATTTATAAATAAAATTTTATTATTTATTTATTATGAAAATATAGACAGCAAAACATACACCAATTTAACAACTTCTACAATTTTGTTACACTGACATATTCTTCAAGTAGTGTAACCATTCTTGCTATCCTTTCTACCTTACTCCATCATCATTAAGATAAACTCACTGCCCACTTAGTTTCCCATTTAACCCCTCATATGCTCTTATCACTCTAATCCCATTTAGATGATTCTTTAAAAGATCAATGCTCAAGGCAACACACTACTTACTAATCAAGTTAAAATGTTGTCTGATTTAAAGAGGACTTCAGGTGATAGTCTTAGCCTAAGGTCCAAGTGTCTAAAATTATCTTAGAAAAATAGCTGGAGGGGCTCCAATAGCTTCACAAAGTCTGGTTTCTTCAAAAAATCAAAATTTGCACACATTGCCCCTTGCCATCCTCAGGACTCTTCTGTAGTTGTACCTGGGCACCACCCAGCTCTTCTGGCCCCACGGAAAATGAGGCGGACTTTCAGGGAGACAGCTAGAATGGATTTCAGTTTCCCTTGACCCCCTTCCACCTCTGCTCCAGGATAACAGAGACCAATTCTTGTATCTTGAATGACTACCAGCAAGCCAATAAGACCCCAGCCATTATACAATGAGCCAGGAGGCAGAACAGAAACAATATTAGGCCTACTGATTGCGATGTCCCAGAAATCATGCCCCTAAATACCATGGGTGTCTGACTGTATGTAAGTAGTATCAGTCCCTATTTTGTTGTTGTAAAAGTATAAACGGGAGCTCTGGTAGCATAGTGCCTAAAGCACTTGACTGCTAACCAGAAAGCTGGTGGTTCAAACCCACCAGCCACTCCTCAGAAGGAAGATGGGGCAATCTACTTCCGTAGTGATATTGCCTCGGAAACCCAAAGAGGGGTCGCTATGAGTCGGGTCCAACTCAGCAGCACATAACAACAACAACAACAACAAAAGTATAAACAATGCAGCATTGATTAAGTCAACCTCTTTCAGGTGTGGAGCCTATTGATATGTATTACATCAGTCATACTGCACACCCTTCACCCTTAATGGATTCTAGCTGTACATCTGAGTACTATTCCATTTTATGTATCTATCCCATTTTATTTGTTTTGTTTTATTCACTGATGTACATTTTGATTGTTTATACCTCTCAGCTCTTGTGGGTAGTGGGCAGTGTTGCCATGAACATTGGTGTTCATATGTCTGTTCTTGTTCTTGATTCTAAGTCCCTTGAATATTGCTGGGTCACACAGTGGTTCTATTTTTAGTTTTTGAAGAAATGTCACAATATTTTCCACAATGGCTAAATCATTTTACATATTTACCAGTAATTAATACAGATTTTAATTTTTCCCACATACTAACCAATATTTGGTATTTTCTACTTTTTTTTTTTTCAATCTTAGCCATCCTAGTGGAAAGGTCAGCATAGAAGGAGAAGGCCTTCAGTAAGATGGATTGAAATGGTGGCTGCACAAATGGGCTCTGGTATAGCTAGAATTATGAAGCTGGCAGAGGACCGATCAATGTTCCATTCTGCTGCACATATGGTCACTATGATTTGTAGCTGATTTGACAGCACCTGACAAGAACATCCTAGTGGGAGTGACATGATATCTCATTTTGGTTTTGATTTGCCTCCCTCTATTGGAGGAGTTTTGGTGGTGTAGTGCCTAAGGTATTTGCCTGCTAACCAGAGGCAGGTGGTTCAAAGCCACCAACCACTCCTCAGAAGGAAGACTGGGCAATCTACTTCTGTAGTGATACCACCTCAGAAGCCCATGGAGGGGTCACTATGAGTTGGATTCCACTCGATGGCACTGAGTTTGATTGGCTAAAGACATTGAGCATCTTTTTTTTTTTTTTTTCTATCATTTTGATATCTTCTGTGGTGTAATTCCAGTCCTTTTCTCATTTTTTGATTGAATCATTTTTTAGTTAAGTTATACTTTCTTATTTATATTCATATTGAATAGATAATAGACCCTGGGATTTATAAAATTTTCATATTTATTCTCCTGAAGAACTAACTTTGGAAAGAGACCAAAAGCACTACTGAAGAAGAACAAAGTAGGAGATTTCACACTCTCAGATCTCAAAACCTACTATACAGCTACTGTACTTAAATCAGCCTTGTATTGGTACAATGGAAGACACATAGAACAGTGAAAGAGAAATGAGAACCCGGAAATAGATCCATCCACCTATGGTCAGCTGATCATTGACAAAGGGCTGAAATCCATTCAATGGGGAAGATATATCCTTTTTTAACACTTGGTTCTGGAAAAACTGGATATCCATATGCAGTAAAATGAAACAATATCGGTAACACATCATACACAAAAACTAACTCCAATGGATCAAAGACTTAAATGTGAAACCTAAAACTATAAAGTTCATCAAAGAAAAAAATAGGGGCAAACTTAGGGACCCTAATTTAAAGCATAAAAAAACTATCAAGCATAACCAAAAATGCACAAAGAGCATAAGATAAAGTAGAAGACTGGGACCTTCTAAAAATTAAATGCTTATGTGCATCTAAGGACTTCTCCAAAAGGATAAAAGGAGAACCTACGGATTTGGGAAAAAAAAAAAAAAATTGGCAATGACATATCTGACAAGGGACTTATCTCTAAAATGTATAGAAAACTCAACAGCAAAAAGACAAACAATCCAATTAAAAAATGGGCAGAAAACATGAACAGACCTTTCAACAAACAAGATATTCAAGCAGCCAACAAACACGTGAAGAAATGCGTGTAATCATTAGCCATTAGAGAGATGTAAGTCAAAACAAGAATGAGATACCATGTCAACCCAACACTAATAGTAAAATTCAACAAGACAGAAAATAAAAAATGCTGGTGAGAATATGGGGACATTGGTACTCTCATGCGCTGCTGGTGGAACTGAAAAACGTTACAACCACTGTGGAAATTGGTATGTCAATTCCTTAGAAAGTTGGTGGAAACATCATTTTATCCAGTAAAGTGATTACTAGGTATATATCCTAAAAAAGTCAGTGCCAGGACACAAGTAGATATATGCATACCCATGTTCATCAGAGCACTATTCACAATAGCAAAGAGATGGAAACAACGTAAGAGCCAATCAATGGAGGAATGGATAACCACAATGTGATACACACACACAAAGTAATACCATGCAACACTAAAGAATAATGTAGAATCTGAGAAAGACTTCATAACATGGATGAACTTGAAGGACATTATGCTAAATGAAATAAGTCAATAACAGAAGGGCAGATATTGTATGAGTCCTTTATTGTAAAAAAATCAAGGAAAGGTTTATATATGGAAGGAAACTTTCTTTGTTGGTTACCAGGGTGGGAGAAGAGGGAGAGAAAACAAAAACAAACAAAAAACTAACCTTTCCCAAAATCCTTTCTCTCAAATTTCATCTTTTTTCCCCAACTTTCTCAAATATTTGAATCAGATTATTTCTAGGTTAACTGTAGCATTAAGAAAATTATTAACAAGAATACTGTGTAGCTCTTTTATTATTATTATTATTATATTTTTTGATTCACAATATCCATCTGGAATTCTTTGTTGAAATGTCTATCCCATCACTATCACCCCCATCCCAATGTAATATGTGGGGATTGAGGGTGTATTCAGAATTCCCATGAATTCCCATGATACAAGCCTAGAATGGTGAATGACTTACCGAGGAGAATGACAACACAGAGAAGAATAGCGATTAAGGCTCCTGTACTCAAACCCGCTGAGGATAGGAAGGCTTCTGCATGGCAGGTCCGCACACGCCCATCTCTCTCGCATGCACAAACCCTGATGGTGAGGGTGCTGCTGCTGCTGAGAGAGGGGATGCCACCATCAGAGATCATAATGGGCAGATAATACACATCCTGAATACTTCGACTAAATCTCCTCCGCCTTGTCACAATGCTGGCTGTGTTATCTATGACAGACATAAGCAAAACAAAACGTACTTAGTAAAGCTGCCATTAAAGAGTCACATTTCCTTGAACGGTTCACATGGGGATATGTGAGTTCGGTTTTGTTTATTTATTTATTTACTTTTTCCGTTTATGAAATGGGCAAGAATATATGAAGGGACACTGATTACAGAGTAACTAAAATTGACGCTCAGATTGAGAAACCAATTGGAAAAATTAATATAGCTTGAACTAAGGGGGAGGAAAAGTAGTAGAGGAGAAGGAAGAAGGAAGCAATACACATTTTGGACATAAACATATTAGTCAAAAGATTAAAAAGGATACAGAGAGCTTTAAATCAGTAGGTTACAAACATTGCAGTGAAGTAGTGGGCCTGATTCCAAATCTGATCATTCTGAGTGGAACAGATATCTGCATTTTATGCAAAGTATTCAGATGTTGTTAAAGCACAATTAAAATTTAAGAATCACTGGTATGGATTATACTTTTTACAGAAATACAAGATCAACTTATCATCTTCTTTAGACTTAGCTGTGATTTGAAGCACTGATCTTATAGTTGAACACATCATGGAAAAGTCAATGTTGAATGAAGTAGACATTTATTCTTATGTGCTTTTAAAGTGCAATACACTATGAAAAGTCTGCATAATATATTATATCATCACAACCTTATGGGGGATATTAAATCCCTCATTATATAAGAAACATAATTTATATGACAAATCGTATTTTAGAGATATATAACTTGATTCTCAGAAACCAATTACCCAAGTTCACAAAGCTAGTGAATGATCACGACTCAACCCATCATACTCTAGAACCTTAATCAAAACTACAATGTCTCACTGCCTCCAACAATTCACCTCTAGTCAACAATGATGCCTTCTTGTTCACATACTATATGATTGCCTCAATATTGTTATCATAACTCCAGAATGACTTTGCAAAAAGTCCTTTAACTGCCTATCTGGAAGTGCCACTCAGATTCCCTTCAAGGAATAACTTATTCCCATAGTATATGTTACCTGGACCAAGGTCACATTCTTCCACACTGGCAGATAATCAATGACTTATTACAAGAATATGAAATTTGGGCCACTTCTGTCCAATCCAGACAATTCTGAAAGGCCTGTACAGATCCAGAGTTTTCCCTGAGATCAGCTGAAGTGGCATTAAAACTGAATGGTTTTAACCTTGACATCTGCCTCTGCCCAACCCTTCTTCCTCTGGCTGTCATCCATTGGGATTGATCCAAAGGACACACTCAAGTACACATCCTGCACATTAATAAACGGCAATTCAAAGTCTGCTTCCCAACCTGTGGCAAGAACTTTGAGTTAATTACTCTGCTGAAAAGTAAGTAAATTATTCAATAATTACATTTAGGAATTCTTTCTCTCATATCAATTCCCTTTATGTTGAAAATTAAAATTTTGTTTCACATAGGTATGTTTATATTAGCCATGATCCAATATGGTACAACTAAGTGTATTTTCTTCACTATATATTGATAAATTAAACCAATACGAAGATAATTATTCTTTTCACAAATATTCAATGTAAAGCACATATTAGGACAAAGAAATACATAAAGAGTTAGACAAAGAGATAGATAGGCGAGGGTTAATCCATGTAGGTATCAAAAAGACCATTTTGCATGTGGAAGAGGAATTAATATAGAATAATAATTAATAAATAGCTAATAAGTCCCCTGTCCAGCACTCTTCTGTCAGTTTGTTGTACTGTGATGGCTTGCATGATGGTATGAGTCTGGAGGCTCCGTCACTCCAGAAATATCAGTATATTTCAAAAGCCAGCAGGGTCACCCATGGTAGACAGGTTTCTACAGAGCTTCCAGAATGATACAGATTGGAAGAAGGAAAGGGTCATCCACTTTCCCAAGAATTGGTCACTGAAAACCTTATCAAGAGCAGTGAAACACTGTTTGATACATTACTGAAAATATATCTGAGTATCTCTGAAACACTGTATGACATAGCATCAGAACATTAGCCACTGAGGTCGGAAGGCACTCAAAATACAACTAGGGAGGGCTGCCTCCTCAAAATAGAGTTGACCTTAATGACATGGATAGAATAAAGCTTTCAGGACCTCCATTTGCTGATGGAGCATGACTCCAAATGGGAAGAAACAACTGAAATAATCAGAGAAAATAAATAATCAGAATTTGGAATTACAAAGTATGAATCTAGGAAAGCTGGAAGTTGTCAAAAATGAAATGGAACACATAAATATCAATATCCTAGGCATCGGTGAATGGAAATGGACTGGTTTTGGCCATTTTGAATCAGACAATCATTTGATCTATTGTGCTGGGAATTCAACAAACGGATGCCGCACTGGAGGCACTCACTCGGTTATGCCAAGAAATCTGGAAGACAGCTACCCCTCCAACTGACTGGAAGAGATCCGTATGTGTGCCCATTCCAAAAAATGGTGATCCAACAGAATGTGGACATTATCAAACAATATCATTAATATCACACACAAATAAAACTTTTCTGAAGATAATTTAAAATGGTTGCAGCAGTATATTGACAAGGAACTTCAGAAATGCAAGCTGCATTCAGAAGAGTTCATGGAATGAGGGATATCACTCCTGATGTCAAATGGATCTTGACTGAAAGCAAATAATTCCAGAGAGATATTTACTTTTTTTTTTTTTTTTTCATTTTCCCCTATGCAAAAAAGCATTCAACTGTATGGATCATAATATATCGTGGATAATGTTGAGAAGAATGGAAATTCCAGAACACTTAATTGTGTTCACAAGGAAACTATACATAGTCAAGGAGGTTGTCAATTGAAAATAAAAAGGGGGTACTTCATGGTTTAAAATCAGGCAGAGGGTGCATCAGCATTGTATCTTTTTACCATATGTATTCAATCTATACACTGGGCAAATAATCTGAGGACATGTATTACATGAAGAAGAATACAGCATCAGGATTAGAGGAAGACTCATTAGTAATCTGCGATATGCAGAGAACACAACCTTGCTTGCTGAAAGAGAAGATGACTTGAAGCACTTACTGATGGAGATTAAAGACTATAGTCTGCAGTATATTACACGTCAAAATAACAATAATAAAAATCTTTACAACTGGACCTATAAGAAGCATCACAATAAATGGATAAAGGATTGACGTTATCAAGGATTTCATATTATTTGGTTCTACAATCAACACCAATGGGAGCAGCAGTCAAGACATCAGACAACATATTGCACTGGGAAAATTTCCTGCAAAAGACCTTTTTAAATTGGTGAAGAGCAAAAATATCTCTTTGAAGATTAAGATATGCCTAATCCAAGCCATGGTGTTTTCAGTTGCCTCATATGAATGTGAAAGCTGAACAATGAATAAGGATGACCGAAGAAGAGTTGATGCTTTTAAGTTGTGGTGTTGGCGAAGAATGCTGAGAGTACCAAGGACTTCCAGAAGAAAGAAGAACTCTCTCCTGGCAGAAGTGCAGCCAGAAGCTTCTTGGAAGCGAGAATGACCAAACTTCATCTCACCTACTTTGGTCAAGTTGTCAAAAGGATGATTCGCTAGGGAAGAATATCATGCTTGGCAAAGTGGAAGGTCAGCAAAAAAGGGGAAGATCCTCAATGAGATAGACTGTCAAAGTGGCTGCAATGCTCAGATGTAACAAGGATTAAGAGGATGGTGCATGAGTGGCAGTGTTTCATTCTGCTGTACAGAGGCATTATGAATTGGAGCCCACTAGAAGGCACCTAACAACAACAACGACAAACAAGGCTCCTGTACTCAAACTTGCCAAGGACAGGAAGGCGTCCACCTGGCAGATCCACAGGTGTCCACCTCTCTTGTAAGCATAAACCCAAAATTTGAGCGTACTGCTAAATTGGCATTACTGTTACTACTCACTGCTGTTGAGTCGATTCAACTCATAGTGACCACTCCTTGGGTTTCTGAGGTGGTATCACTACAGTAGTATATTGCCCAATCTTCCTTCTTAGGAGTGGCTGGTGAGTTTGAACCACCAGCATTCTGGTTAGCAGTCAAATGCCTTCTTGTTGTTGTTGTCGTTGTTGTTGTTATGTGCCATCAAGTCGGACCCAAATCATAGCAACCCCTCCTTGGGTTTCTGAGGCAATATCACTACAGAAGTAGATTGCTCAACCTTCCTTCCGAGGAGTGGCTGGTGGGTTTGAACAGTCTGGTTAGCAGTCAAGTGCCTTAGGAACTGTGTTACCAGAGCTCCTGTCAAATGCCTTAGGATATTATTAATAGATATAGGTGTATATATATATATAGTCATAGCTATAGATCAAATGTCTATTCTGAAGGAGGTTTCAGAATATAGATTAAAAAAAAAGACAAAATATTTCATCGTGCACAGCACATCAGTTATGAGAATGCTGCAAATCTGCACTTTGAAGAAGAAAATCTATCACTTATTGGCTATTGGATCATAATTAACATAAGCTTGCCTGTATGTAACAATTCTTTGCTTCAGGGAAAACATAACTAACTCTTCAGTGATATGGACACATTGGTGGTCCTCTGAAGAAGAGATGAAAATCACTGATCCAGGAATCTCAGGAGACACAAATAAAATGTGCAGTGAGATAAGATGCAGTGGTAGATAGGGGCTCTCTTCAGTGGCTCTGACTTATGAACATTTATGTAAATTTATGTAAATGTTACTACATTTATTTGGAAGGGTCTCTCCTCTTAGGAGAATGATTGGAAATGCAATCAGAAAAAAGATCAGTAACATGATGAAGAAACCCAGGATGTTTCTAGTGCATTTTAAGTCCATAAATAAAATGCTTTAAGTTGGAGAAATAAAAAAAAAATGTTCTCTTCAGCATTTTTTCAATTGATGATTTTCTTTCTGAAAAGGAAAGGAGATTCAGGAAGTATGGAGTTGTCTACCTAAAAAGTCTTAACACAGCAGAAAAATGAGCTCTTGACAAGTGATATTATGTACTGTACAGGATCTGCACAAAA